TATTATAGGAGTGTATACTAAGTATCATTTATTATGAAGTAGTCATTAAAAGTTTCAGGAAGTTTGCCTTAATTTATGAAGTTTGCAATAAGGTATAGATATATTTCATATATATTCATTATTATTAATATCTTGAACAAAGGCTGAGAATTTTCTCGAAAACTTGAAAAAGTCATGAGTCTTATTAATTTCTTTTGTGCTATATAAATAGATCTTAGCCTAGTTGGATATATGTGCTTGCCCAGTTGATGTTATAATAGGTCAGGTATGGATGAACCATGGTATTTTATAATTCCTTTAAATTTTTATGCTCTAAATAATATCTTGCTTTTGCTATTATCCCTGCTGTTTTTGATACCTTCATTGAAAGATATGATTGATACGAAATTTCCAACACAATTTTTCATCTAGGCATACTCCGAAGAATTTTTTGTGATCAACTTGTTTTCTATTTTGGTCTGCAATATTTACAGTTATTTTATGTTGAACGTTTTATTTTTGCTTTTAAAGATCATAAAATTAGTTTTTCCAACATTTAATGATAATTTGTTTGCTGCTAGCCACAATGTAACCTTCTCTAATTCTTTATTGATGGTATTGTTGAGAGTTTTTAAATCTGATGGCTTGAAAACAGATTTGTATCATCAGTAAATAAAATAAAGGATAATATCTCAGAGCCTTTACATATATCGACATATATTAAAAACAAGAGCGGTCCTAGAACAGAGCCTTGTGGCACACCACACTTAATTGTTAAGTAATCTGAACTGGTTAATTTGAATTTAAAAATTTGTTTCCTTCCTGGTAAGTAGTTTCTAAACCAGTCTAGGGCTTTTCCTCTAAATCCATAATACTCTAGCTTATATAGCAGTGCACTGTGATCTACTGTGTCAAATATGCCTTGGGGAGATCTGGGAAAAGCCCCATTGTATATTCACTGTTGTCCACGGCCTTAGATATCTTTGAAACAAGCTCAAGAATTGCAAAATTTTGTTGAACGTCTAAATCAACAAAACTCAGAAATCCAGACATTGTTTGGGATACACGACAGCCTTTATTAATCATAACAAAATACAATACATGGTAAATAATCAAAAGGTAATATCCAGTATACAAATAAAGTACTCCAACAAATAAGAAAGACCAAACTAAAAAAAAATTAAAACAACCTCAATCGAATAATAAAAGTGATCACACTGTCCATGAATGGAACAAAACAAAACCCTAAAGGCAGGGAGGGAGGGAAATGATTGCTAGTGCAATAAAAGTGAATGTTGCTACTGCGGTGCCAAGAGAAAATGTGACTAAACTAGAACTGTACCGGTCTGTAACCCACATGTACAGTCGTGGTATTCCTGTCTATCGTGAAACTACTATATTCTAGCTAGGTACTAGACACATGGTATTATGAAATCTCTCGTGCCAAAAACCTACTGTGATGCTCTACTAGTCCTGCATCCCAATGTGACGCCTTCCTTTGAGATTTAGAACCGCATCAGTCGTCTCAACTGATGCATCGCCTTTTTTCCTGAATCTGTTTTGACTGTCTGTTAAGATTTTATGCTTATTTAGAAAATTTTGTCTGTACAACCCTTGGACTGAGGTTTTTTACAATAACAAGCATTGTGTTTGAAAAATAAGTGGAAATTGTAAGCACGTTTGTACGTTTTGTGTTTGCATGTCAAGATATGTTAATTACTTCTAGTCTCCTTCAAAGCCGTTTTTAGGCTTCGCGTGACGAGCCTAAAATCGGCTGCGAAGGAGACTAATTTACTTCTGGATCCGTGATCACTGTAAATTACTGTGTCACGGCAGTCCAGTTCATTTTGTTTAATTTTGTCAATTACTCACCCTCAATCGCTATGGAACTTAAAGTAAGCAAAGAAATTACATGTAAATAACTAAATCAGAGATCGAGATAAACAAATATGTCTCCTTAGCATTATTTTTGAAGTTGCAAGCAGCAGGGATCAACTTTGAAAAACCGTTAGGCTGAACAGTTTTCAAAAACCCTAATTTCAATCCGTTTCAGTCTTCTTCAGTTTTGCCCATCCGTGGCATCTGTTGTTTCTGTTATGTTATTTCAAACTTCCTTTAAAGTTTTAAGCGCGGTTATTTTTATGGTTCTCTTAATTTAACGGGCATTTTGTAATTTCCTAATTTGGCTGAATTTCGGGACACAGCTCCTTTAAATTTGTCGCAATCCGCCTTACCGGTAAGCGCTCCCAAAGCTTTGATGTACGAGTCTCCTCCACGAGTCAAGTAGTCCCAAAGTTTTATCGAACCTCGCCTCGCCAGAGTGTACTCGATTTTCAGCGAGCCTCTCAGCTTCTCTACATCTTCTTGGCTATAATTCCTCTTGATTCCTTCGAATCGCTGTTGTTTGAAAAACATTTTGGATAAGAATTGAATAGGAGGATGAGAAACTGTNTTCCACGACTGAAACAAACTTATTCTTACGAGCTGCAAGCGTGATATCTTAAAACTTTGCTGGGGGTCCTCTATAATAAAAAATCCAAACCTTAACACACTTGAGTTCTGTTTGGGCCTACTAGAAAGTATAGCCTGAGTACAGACGCCCCTCCCCTAGGGAGAGAGATTTGTTTCTTAAAAGAGGGAAGGGGTCGGCTGTACACAGGCTAGGACCTACTGGACATGGCTTCTTCCTGCTCAGTGTACCGGAGAACAATGTCCTCCGACGAATTTTACGGGTATCTAAAGATGGGAAATTCGATGAAAGGCCGGCCTCTGGACATATTCAAAACGGTACAGAAGTACTATGAGAAATTTTATATTCGCCTCTGTTGATGAAACCTGCCCATCTACTCTTTAGTCAATTGGCCGCACTTATTCCATCTCGTTCAATATTCGGCAAAATGTTGGTAATTTTTTCTGGAGGTGAATTCTTAAACACTGTATTGTATCGAAATTCACGAAAACAAGAAGAAAGTCGTTCACGTCCTCCAAAAAAGTGACTACGTCGTAGTGTGCAACGACTGCAAAGAAATATGTACAAAAAAGCGTGATGAACGTGCAAAGTTGTTGTATTACTAAATATAAACATATTGACCTCCTATTTGTTTCTTTGCTATCTATTTATTCGTAAGGCCATTTACACTTCATGCCACTAAAGAACAACCATAACATCTTCAAACCAGCAGGAACAATATAAGTTTCCCTTAAAAAAACAGCTGATATGCCTTGTTTCTTAAAATAAGCTTACAATACAATACATAACAGTTAACTGCTAAATATCAGTACAGGGGTCAACAGATGGAAAGCGTAGAATACTAACTCGATCGACAGAAAAGTTTCCTTAATGTTTCTTTTACAGCTTGCCTCACCTCTCTGATCTTCCAACAGTACAACAACGGGTTTAAAGACGAGTTTAAGTAAAATATGGTAACTGCAAATTCCTCAGCAATATAAGTAGAAACAGGTATCCCTCTCTGAGGGTGCAAAGCTACTACTATAACATACGGCAGACAACAAACAACCAAAGTTCCTTGCACCCACAGTGCACCGTACACTGCCTTTCTGTATCGAGCTATGTTCAGAGGAATTGCTTGGCTCGTTTGTCCTTGAGCAGCATGGTTCTGAACATGAATTTGGTTATGACGCAGAGTACAGAAAATTTTAGTGTAAGCGAAGATTGCGGTGACCAGACACAAAGGAGTACCTATGTATTGATAAATTGAAGTTACAAAACGATTCCAAAAGATAGAAGATGCACCGAAGATGGACAAAATCCAAAAACTAATTACAGTTATGTATGTTCGCTTCAAAGTTACAACTTGTCTGTATCTGAGCCCCAGCAACAAGGCGAGAAGTCTGTCCACGCTTATTGCAGTCAATGTTAATAAAGATACTGTACACAAAGTATAACCTGAGAAAGTTGCTGGCCAATTTGCGTAATAGCAAATATCCCATCTTTCGTTCACAAAAGAAGTCCAATAAGTCACTTCCAAAGGTTCTGCAATAATACCAACACAGAGATCAGCTATCGCTAGGTTACGATACAGGAGTTTGGACGGCGGATGAAGTGAAGTTGCCTTGTGCAGCGCAACTAGGATCAGAGTGTTCCCCAGAAATGCAGTGACGGAAAGAAACATATTTAGAGCTGAAAGGAATATAAGCTCGCTCTCTACACCGCTGACAAATTCAGCCGAGCAGAACAGTTCTTGGACAGTTTTATGGTTTTCGTCTTCAGTAAAATTTTCCAGGGCCATTTTCCTCTTCGGCGCTGAAGAGTGTGAATGTGGAATAATGACCTTTGTCAATTCTTTATCAACTGTTTCCACAAAAGTTTGAGGAAAAAATTAATTCTGTTTTTAGTTGTACCACACGAGGAAAAAGGATTCAGCAAAGTTGTTCGTGACTAGTTTTTCAAACAGTCAAACATTTGTCGAACTATAATGAGCCAGGTGTAATTGACTTACGAGCCATTTTAATGACCTTTTAGGTCTTAATATGTTGTCGGTGCTAAAAGTTTGTATGACGTTTTCTTCATTAACATCGCTGTAAATTCCAACAATCCGGCCAATTCAACACATTAAGCTGCATGCAAATATGCTTGAGTCATCAGAGCGTAATACATGTGTCTGAGTTATTTAAAACCGAATATACTATTTTTAAGAAAAAGGTAACCCTTTCGTATACCTTCAATAGGGAGTACCCCCCCCCCCCCCC